GTAATATTCAACAGTAAATATATACGGCATTTTTTGTTTTTGTATAAAAAAAAACATATTTTTTAATTCATTAAACCATGACACATACTTTATTTTAACCAGAAATGTTAAAATAGAATGATATTTGGTCGTGCAGATGCCATCGAGATGTTGATCAGGTTTTTTTTCTGTCCTTGGTAATCTACAGAGCTTTTATCGGAAGAATAATGCGGATGACCAAAATGAATGTCTCCCTTTCAGCCGTTTCACCAAGTAAGGAGAGACGTAATGTCATCGAGCAGCAGCCCAATAGTTATTGGGCTGTTTCCAGCAGGGAGATTGTGGCAATTTATCCATATCGGTCTGACATCTGGGGTCAAGGTAGACTTGGCAAAAGGATAAGGCTCATCATATAGAGGTAGCATTTCAGCTGTGCACATTTTATCAGCTCGACACAGGTGACAGATTTGGGTCTGGATTCCGTGTCATCCCAGTTTAGGTAATGACAGTTTTTCTGTGCTCAAAGGTCTTAAACTAAGAACAAAAACTTGGAGGGACAATACGGAGCTCAATGTCATCCTTGCATTTATTTTTATATTACAAATTGCATATCATTGCTTAAAATTTCAGTTAGTGACTTGAAATGTGACATTTTGTGCAATGTGTTGGCTTGGTTATCAGGTGACAGCTAATCTTATCCATCTATTTCAAAAGATGAATAAAACTTGCTGAATAGATACATTACATTTTTCATCAAAGAATACTACATTACATCTCTTTATAATAAAAAATATGCCACGCAGTGTTATTATTTACTGCTTTGGTGACAAATTCAATTGCAGAAATGTTTGGGATTTTTCGTTTTTAATTTACAGCCCTTTTGTAAATGTGCTATTGTATTAAGTACTCCGCATGCCATGTTGGTCAATAGGTTGTTTGACCATACCATACTTCACCACACTGGTGTTGGCGTTTACTTAATTGTAAAATAGGTAATCAGCCTCATATAGTTTGCGTTTAGAAACAATGAGGTATAGTTAAGTGTATATATTTGTATGTTATCCTCAAGCTCCGTATTCAAAGCTTCATCATCAGCCATGATCAACCCACAGCCAGATAAAGGCCTCCCCAAGCCGTTGCCATCTCTCATGATCATGCGACGTAATATTTCATCTCGCAGCTGCACGGAAGCTAATTCCATTGCTCCATCTCCTCGGTTGACGTAATCCGACCTGTTCCACCCCTGCGCTGCTACGCCATCATTATAGTTGATTATATTATCGACCATCATCCGATCTGGTCATGCCGTGTCCTGCCCAAGCACACTTACTGCTCTCAAAAACTATAATGCTGTTATTCATGTGGATACATTGTCCAAGAACACTTACTGCTCTTATCAGCTATAATGTTTTCATACATTTGTGTATGTTCTCTAATGCTTGTGTTCCTTTGTCTATCTCCCAATGTAATTCAAAGCACACATCTCTTAATTTTTTGCACACTCGTCAGTTTTTTTTGTTACGTTTTCTTCCACAACCATCTTTCCGATCCATATGTCATAGCATGCTGTGCTGTATGTAGTTATGCACGTATATGTTTGTTTTCAAACACTATCTTATTTAGGCACATCGGTATGCTACTTTTCGGTATCAAGTTGAGTTTTTTTTAAAGCATTCCAACCGGATCTCGTTCACCTTGATGTAATTTCAAAAGTGTACTTGCTATATAAGGCCATGTGTGTGTATAATTCTATATTAACAAAGCTCAAGTGCATGTATACCATTTTTCAGCCAGCATTTCTCAGCTGTATGGGCATTATAATTCAAGATGCAAGATGATTAAACTTTGTTATTTTCAGAGAGGCTACTCTTACATTTGTATGATGGTGACAAGGTCGAGCAGTAGCGTTGTTTCCCACCTGTTGCAGTGGCTCACGGTTCGAGCCCAGTGGCCACCCTGGTCAATTAACCTTGAGTGTACGCCGTCTGAATCACGGTGAACGTTAAAGGTCTCGTGAGGCTATTAAAAATTAAATAGGTCGTGGCTTCACAGTTCAAATTAAATGATTACTTAGTTGGGGGAGGATATTTTTTTAACGTCATCACCCACTACTGACAGACTCGCGTCCATTTGCAGGCTGATGTTGCATACTTTTTGTGCTGCAAAGGGACAGCAATGGCGTTCTGCTAGACTGCAGAAAGCCATTGCAAATGTTGAGTTGAAATGCAAATGAAGGTGATTTGAGTTATTGAGGAATTCATTTACTTTTGTATTTTGAATGTAATACATTTGCTTTTTGGCTCAAATATGTTACCTATGTCCATTAAGAAGACTAGGTCTTGCCCTTATTGGCACTAAAACAGTTGTAAGATGTGCTAACGCCAAATGGATACCTATTGCAAAGCAAGTCTGCATTAGCCACACATACTCTACTTGTAGCAAAACATGCATATTCTTTTTGTCATCATTTTTAATACTGGAAAAAAGTCCCATAGATGTCTGTTAAGTTCAAGTTGCATGTCACAAACAAGAGAACAGCCAGTAATGCATAAACTATTAAGAATGTTGTGCTTCTTGCTGAACTTATAATACAGTCGCTAATTCAGCTCATATTTTATTAACACAAATACTGTTAATATGTAATGCTTTACAGCCCCATTTTTTTCCAAACGGTGGGTGTGTTATTATGCAGAGGGTGATCTGTAGAACATTTTAATGATCCCGTTACACTCACACACATCTTCTTACCTAAATGCCAAGCACATACAACCACTACTCCTCTCCTCCAATGAAGTTTGGTTCTTCAGTTATTCGAAGCGGATGTATCGTATGTATGCTAAAGGATTGAACGTGCACTTGCGTTAACATTCCTTATACAGGTGTGGTGTGCTCTTGTGCGGGCGTGTGCACACCAAATTATGTGTGTATGCCACTTAATGGAAGACACTGCTGTAGTGAGGATCCTGTCTAGAGCATTTTCATTGTTAGGTATTTCTTAAAATGTATTGCAATGGAACAAATAGTAAATTTAACAAAGATATGTCAATATAAAACATATTTAGAATTAAAAATACACACAGTAGTAAATTTGTAACTTATTGATAGGAAAATAAATGTGCTAAATGATTGTAAAAATCAAAGCTTAATTTGCCCTTTAATTAGAGATCAATGGTTATACAACACATTTTTAAAGGAATGTGAGCGGGACTTTTAACTGTGTCAAGGGAATACACGTCCACACAGGGTATCTGTGCACGTACGTACATGCTTTTGTAAACCTAAAATTAGAGGCTGCAGGCTCACTATGGAAATACGCCATTGCCGTGTCAACTGAGCTGTCTACAATATTTGCGTCATTTACATTTTATATATAAAACATATTTGTTTCCTCCTCCTTACACACCGTGACTTTTAAAGCCGGCGCTATTAAAAGCACACGCGTTAACTGTAGGTCACGTTTTTTGGTAAGCTGCTTTAAAAGCTGTTGCTTGTAAAAAAACAAATCGTCTAACCAACACAGAAAGAACGCCGCATCAATATAACACTTAATTTGACTTAACACGAAACCTTGTCTTGTCATTTCAGAATCCATTTGTTGCACTGCGGTTATTTTGTCTGGGAAATAAGTTTTCTGTTGTGCTCCAATAAGTTCAAGGAAGATCAACATCGTAACCACTTGTCTGCTGTGGCAGTATGTCTACAACATCTGCAGCCAACTCCAATACAGGTACCCACGGGGGCACACTTGTCTTTTAAAATATAAGATTCCCCATTAAGCCTCTTAGGTTAGTGGGGTTAATGATGCTTGTGAGCGTTGAAGATAGAATGGCATACTTAGAAATGGTATAGCCACCACGATGCATACACGTTGTTGCTTTTGTCCCCCAGTGCTGATGTTGACATACTTTACTGTACCAGCGACACAAGACCCAATCTCTGGGAATGGAGATGAGCAATGCACCGTGCCCTTTTGAGCATTAAGTCCCTTTGACTTTGAAGTTATCGGAATATAGCTAATGCATTGGTTGTCGAAATTGTTTTTTTCTGTATTGAACTATACTTTCTACCAGTTTCATTTGCAAAGCGAATTTGCTGTCTTTCATCGTTTGAGTGCTTACAAATATAGTACGTGGGGGTTAAGTTCCATGTACCCCCGCGTAAGTGACAATTCGCTTAAGTTGGGGTTTGCTTATATGAGTTTAATATATAAAATGTAAGAGTGTATATAAAATGAATATAAATGTATATACATTTTAAATAAAGTACAGTATGGTATAGTACATCATTCACTAATGATAAATACGGAAGGTGCTACCTGATTGGAATCGTTTCTTGCACTGGCGATACAGTTACACGCCGTCAAATACAGGCAGTCCCCCAGGTTATGGAAGGGTTAGGTTCCCAAGAATAATCCATAACCACAATGTCAGAAACTGAACAATTTTTCTCCAAAATCTAGATTAAATCCCATGGCTGGAAAAAGTTGTGCCTCTCCTATCCGACTAATTCGTTTTGTCTCAGAACTGTATCACGCTGCCGTCCATTGTCTATTGCTACCTGTATCATATCGCTGTACATATGCTCTGCACTCCAAATTATTCTTTCATTTCATGGAATATCTACTCCAAAACTTACCAATAATTAAACTAATGGAACATATACTCTATCCATTTGTTTATGAATACCACTAAATATTTTATATTCATTGTTAACAATAAGCAGCCACTTCCGAATGTTCATTTACCATGCATTTGGCTAGACCTAGACTTCTCTAATCGCTGTTGGCTGAGACCATAAGCAATCGTAGTGTAATTGTGTTGAAGTACATAGCGCAAATAACTCATGAAATAAACGTTAAATTAAGAAAACCAGCAATAGAAACGTGGGGAAAAATCAATTTCCAAATATAGAAAAAAACAATGACGTAATGCTACAAAAGAAGAGGATTTTAATGTAACGCTGCAATTTTTTAAATTTACCTTAACCCTCGTTAAGCTTGTGCTCGGTGAAGGCGGCATTTTGGTGGTATTCATCCGCAAGCTCACCACGCTGCACTATTTGCGCTTATATAACTAACGCAAACATTTTCACGTGTTGAATCTTTTTTTACATGATTTTATGGGAGCATTTCCATAAAGTGGGATTTCTGTAAGTCTGGACTTCCGTAACCCAGACACTGCCTGTACACGTTCACGTGATGGCGGGGGGTGATTTTACCTGCTTCCCACCCCATCCGTGTAGCGAAAGTACGAGCTAGGGGTCGGTCATGCATGAGCGGGTCCGCGTACTCTCAACTTGTGTACTCCGAGACCTTACTGTACTGAAATGGGGAACAGATACAGACTAAATCCTGTAGGGGATTTTTCAAGTCTGTCAGTAGCCAGTGGGAAAATGCATATTTCCTTCTGTCCGTGATTCCATTTATGTTTCTGTAAACCTGGGCACAGCTGTATCCCATATGATGCCGCATTAGATTGTGGGTTTATTGTAAATTCATCAGTGACTGTTCGGAGGCAGCGATGCTCGGCATATGTTGCACTTGCAGGTTAATCTGTGCCGTGAACCTAGGATCTTGGAGGTGCTGGTGCAGTACTTTGACAGGGAAAGCGTATTCTCTTGAGCTACACGTTGATCTCATCCTGGAAGGATTTTTTTTTCAGTTACAGTATATGAGAACTTGTTTTTTTCTGCCGTGACATTACTGTGATATAAATGTGTAAATTTTCAATGAAAAATAAGCTTGAACTCTGACACAACGTCGTTACAGCAACAGAGAGCCCCCAGCGAGACAATTATTTTGCCCACATGAAACCAAGTCTGAATGGCTACGTGCAGTTTGGAACCGTGCGTGCATCGTGTCAGTCAATAACAGAGGGGACCCGCATGATATGGGCAGGGCGGTACTGTGGTAACACTTGTGACTCGCAGTAACAACCGGCCTGGGTTCGACTCTCGACTCGGGCACCTTCTACATTGCAACATCGTCAACCTCCTGCAAAAAAACACGGCAGGACCTTCCTGAAAAAGAGTCTTGTGACTCGGTGAGGATAAACAAGTGTACAGTAATAATAATAAGAATACAATACATTTAATTTTCAGTACCTTGTGGATATTTTCTGTGGAGACTAACCTGTTCTTACCTGCTGGTTTACAGCGAATTTTAATAAGCAGGCAATCGATCTCGCTTAGGATCGGCCTCGCCATTGAAATGGGTGTGCCGAGGTCCCCTGTGTGCAGTGAAAATGTATTTTGCATGTTGTGCCACTTAATGTGTCACTTGGCGTCGCTTCTGGCAGGGTTTTGCCATCTTCAATGTGCCACTTTTGGTTTTCCACACTTGTACTGCGCAAGGTCTGCCGCCTTTGCAAATTCTGTTTTGCAATCTAAAATTGGTAATGTGAAAAATAGGAATGCACATTGTGTTTTGTAGATTTTTATTTTATTTTTACTAGGCTGCATGTAAGCTTGCTTATCTGTTTTAATTTTGGGTACACAAACACCAATATAAATGACTAAAATGTAACCATTGGTGCAATGCTCTGTGCATTATACTGATTCCTAATTTGAGTTATTTATTGTACTCAATGATAATAATATTTAGTTTTATATCTAGTCTCGTTCATACAAATTGCTTCTCACATTCGCGGTGCCATGGTGGTGAGATGTTATCTACCTCGCCTGGTATACAGAGGCCATGGGTTCGATCCCGACTCTGATGCCTGTATATTTTGGAGTTTGCATGTTTCTCTCCCCGTGATTGCGTGGATTTTTCTCTGGGGCCTCCGGTTTTTCCCTCCACATTTATAATCAACATGCGTTAATCGTGTAGTGACATCGCGGGATGTCAATGTGCAGTGCCGGCCCTAGAGAGGCACGGCGTGCGGTGTAATGACATCGCGGATACCACAATGGTGTGGGTGCAGTACAAGCCCTAGATGGGCCCGTGAGCACTGATTGTGTGAGTGCCAGCCGAAGGATGAGGTTACTCGAGGCCATGGCACTCTGGTTGACCCGGGAGGGCACGTGACCAGTTAAGTATACAAAGCGGCCCCAAGTGGGGGCTAGGGGTGGTCACATGGTTGGGACCCAGATCCTTTCCGAGGATTCTGGAAGGTGGTCATGGCCAAGGGCGGAGCCAGCCACGCCACAGAGAATATAAGCCGGGTCCCGAGAGGGACCAGGGTGGTTGTTCATCCTGGAAGGCGGAGGCTGGCGGGAGGATGGCATGGTGCGACGGGATGAACAACAACGATGGCGGAAGACCGCTCCTCGTTCTGGGGGTGGGCTCGTCGTGTGCTTCAACTGCGGCCTGCCGGGTCACGTCTCGGCGGGCTGCCGTGTGCCGGTCCACCGCCATCATCCGCCCGACCGTCCTCCACTCCACTATATCCGAAGGCGAGTCGCGACACATCACACACTCGGCCCCTGAATCCACCTCACTCATCACGTTCGGATGGATTTCGTTCCCGTCGTGTGTTGGGGCGTAAGGGTTCGGATTTTTCTCTGGCTGACTGGCCGCTCCGACTGGGTCAGTGGTCGGAGTTGGCCCATAGGGTGGTTGCCACGGCCGCAGGTTCATCCGCTGTTATCGGAATGATAGAGGGGGTTGAAATCAGAATGCTCGTCGATACTAGTTGTCCGCGACTATCATTTCCGAGTTGATTTTTAACATCCTGCCCCCTAAAGGTCGTACCCTATGTCCCGTCGGGGTTCTGTGCTTTGCCACAAACGGCGGCTCATTGGGCATCATTGGGAAAATAACAGCAGAGTTGTGTATTGGAGATATCAAATTGACGGGACCAGTTCTTGTATCAACGTCCTTTGCTGTTCCTTGCTTGCTCGGGACTGACTTTCTGGGGAAGATGCCCCTTAAAATTTAGATTGATCAAGGTTGCCTCGAGTTACCATCAGGCCTCGCATGGCCTTTTTACCTCCTCCCACTCGTTTGTGCACGGCCAACGCTAATGTACAAGCGCTTGTGAGTAGAACCGTAAAGATTCCCCCCGGCGCGCTAATGTTAGTTCCTTTACGATTGAGGCGACTGCGGGAGGGAATCCTCCTGGGACCCTCAAACAAAGCCATTCGTGGGTTGACGTTGGTAGGGGCCCAAACTTTGGTATCTAATGACCAGGAACCGTTCATTCAAGTTTTGAATGCAGAGTTGGACACGTCTTTCATTCAGTAGGGTACCGTGCTAGCCCACGCGACGCCCACGCTTCGCGAGGGAAACATCGTTGGCGGGTTGGGGGTTGCGTCAAATATAAAGCCGCAACAGGCTTCCGATGAAAAGTGGTTAGTTACACTTTGTTCTGAAAATTCGGAATTGTCTGAGTTCCAGAGGAGGGAGTTGAGGGTTCTTTTGTGTGAATTCTCCGATGTGTTTAGCAAGGGCAAATTTGACATTGGCCGCACTGCGCTTTTGAGTCACCACATCGATATTGGCGACGCCGTTCACATCCGGCAGAACCCCTACCGGTTGAGTCCTATGGAAAAAGAACACGTACTGCTGGCGGTTGGTGAAATGTTGGCCGCCGATATTATCTCGCCATCCACCAGCCCGTGGGGAGCCCCGATTGCTCTTGTTAAAAGGCAGGATGGTAGTTTATGCTTCAGTGTCGACATCTGCAAGCTTAATAAGATCTCTGTGGCCGACGCGTACCCCCTTCCTCGAATGGACGATTTTCTGGATGCTCTAGAAGGAGCACAGTATTTTTCGACTCTTGACCTCTTATGTGGATTTTGGCAGTTGCCCCTAGATGAATCCTCTAAGCCCAAGACAGCTTTCGTACACCTCAAGGCTTATTTAAATTTAATCGGCTTCCGATGGGTCTTCATTCCTCTCCGGCTCTGTTTCAGCAATTGATGGAACTGGTTCTAGCTGGCCTCCAGTGGGACTCGTGCCTGATATATTTGGACGATGTTATCGTTTTTAGCCGTACGTTTAAAGAACATCTGGAATGGTTATGTGCTGTCTTTCTTAAAATGTGTGCGGCGAACCTCACATTTAAACCGCAGAAGTAAAGTATCTTAGCCACATAGTTAGTAAATCAGGGATAGCGACAGACCTGGACAAAACCGCATGTATGAGTTTTTGGCTGACCCCCACGTCGGTGGGGGAGGTACGGAGTTTAATTGGTTTTGCGTCCTATTACCGCCGTTTTGTCGCCGAGTTTGCCACTATTGCCAAACCTCTCCACGCATTGATGGCAAAGGGTCAGAAGTTCCATTGGGGGGAGGAGGAGGAGGCCACATTTGTTGCACTCCGGGATGTCTTGGTGAACGCCCCTCCCCTCCGATACCCCGACTTATCCTTGCCGTTCGTCCTTAATACAGACGCTAGCAACACTGGAATTAGCGCTGTTCTGTCTCAAGTCGTTAATGGCGTGGAGAGTGTTGTAGCATGTGGCAGCAGGGTGCTGTCTCCGGCCGAACAACGGTACTGTGTTACATGCCGGAAACTTTTAACTATTTTTTTGTGTGCAACAGTATCGCCCCTATCTTTATGGCCGACCCTTTGAAGTGCGCTCTGACCATGCAGCACTACAGTACGCGCTGCGTATTGAACAGCCGTCTGGCCAACTTTCACGTTGGTTGGAAGTCCTGCAGGACTATTTCTTTACTGTTTCCTACCGCAAAGCTACCCGACACACGAATGCGGATGCCCTGTCGCGATTACCAACGAGCGACGGGTGCGTGTGTTTCTCGGGCTCGGGGCGCTGTAAGGCGCCTGCCGAGGACTCGCCCCCTCCCCTTGCGGCGTCGGCCGAGGTTGACACCTCTGATGAAGCCGATGGTCCTGTGGCACAGGACGCCATCATTGGTTTGGACCATGCGGAGTGGGGACGCCTCCAGGTTGAGGACGCTTGCCTGTTTAAGTTAAGATGCCATGTCAAGGGGGCGGACGGGGGTGGGGATTGACGGGGTACATGTAGTCTTTGTCATCTTCAGAGGCGGATTGCTCATGTATTGGAACGGAGGGTTGCGCCGTTACAACATTATCGTGCCCACTGCCCTGCGGGGTAAAATTATCTGGGCGGTGCACGAGCAACTGTGGCACCTGGGTGTGCATTAGATGCTAGCCACACTTAAGCTTGACTTCTTCTGGCCCAGCATGGCGGAAGATGTCGCTAATGTATTGTGCAATGCGCGCGGTGGAAACCCCCGTCTAAACTCTGTTGTCTACCGTTGCAATCCATCCGAGTTTCCCGCATAAATGAGCTGGTCGCTCTTGATATCCTTGGTCCATTTCCAACCACCCCTCGCGGAAATAAGTATTTACTGGTGGGCGTAGAATATTTTTCTCGGTGGCCGATGGCCTGGCCACTCTCCAACCAGTCGGCTGCAGCCATCACCGAGGCATTCCTCGATGGCTATGTGTTGGATAAGGGGGCCCCTGAGCGTATTCTGACCGATCAGGGTAAACATTTTTCTTCTAAATTGCTGCAGGAGGTGTGCAATTTGTTGGGAACAAAGAAAGTGCGTATGTCGCCATACCATCCCCAGATGAATGGAATGGTGGAGCGGTTGCACAGGACTCTGACTTCCATGTTGAGCCATCAGGTCACCGAGTCCCAGCTTTACTGGGACTTGCATGTTCCCGGGGTCCTGGCTGCCTATAGGATGGTCCCTCTCGCGTCCACCGGCTACTCGCCATTTTTTTTTCACGTACTGAAGAGAACACGACCCCCCGATTGATGTCCAATTACGAGCCGGAAGCGCGTGAGGCTTCCAGGGAAAATTCCAATTTGCGCCAATTGGCAAATGAGCGGCTAAGGGGTCTCCATCTTTCTGTACATGAGTGGGCTCCGGGTGATAGAGCCTGGCTGCACTGTTCCCAGGTGCCCGTGGGTACGTCACCCAAATTGTTTAAACCCTGGAGGGGGCCGGTTGATGTGATTCGGGTCGTTCAGCCCCAGTGTGTTCAAATTCGCTGGGGTCGACAGAGTTGGTTTGTACATCCATTTCACCTAAAACCTTTCATCGCGCCGCGTGAATTCATGCCATCTCCACTATGCAGGGGCCGAGTGTCGGATGTGTCGGTCGAGCTGAGGTGTGTACCCGCTGAGGTTGGTCCTCAGGGGAGTCATGTGCTCCCGTCCTCGGGTTCCGCGCGTTTAACGTCCAACAAGCCACCACCTGCGCCGTCTCCGCAAGCCTCGGGAGCGGAGGGCCCGTTTGCCCGGCCGACTGCTCTTCGTGAGCAGCCCGGTTCGACGGGACATGTTCAAAGTCCCCCCGGGACCCCCCGGGAAGAGTACACCCACCTCTCCTGGGTGCCCGGCCACAAGTCCTTGATCAAAGACTCTTCGGTTTTCGTGACCCCCGTACACACACACACACACTCCCACACCGTCAGTTGGTTGTCGCACTTGGCATGTCGTATTGGTCATTGGCTGAACCTGGCGTTTATTGTGCTTGCAGGTGTTGTTACACGGTGAGGGTGGGAGATGCTAGTGCTGGACGGGGTCTCGAGGTTTCGCGTGTTACTGTGTGTTTTTTTTTCTCTCTACTTCTGTCCCCTTCCCCCGTTCATCTGTGTATATTGTATATATGGGATGGGGTATTTATTTGATAATAGGTTTTTCCCCTTTTTTCTGGCAACAAAACAGGTGTTAAGATGTTAAAACACCAAACTGAAACCTTTTACAAGGAATCATGTCTGCATTAACGACAATACTTGTGGTTAGAATAAAAAAAAAATACTCTGATAATATATGCTACCTGGCTTTACCGAAAGAACCAAATAAAAATGCATATATTATCAGAGTATGTTTTTTGTTTGCATTCTGACCACAAGCATTGAGGTTAATGCAGATATAATTCCTTGTAAAAGGTTTCAGTTTGGTGTTTTAACATCTTAACACCTGTTTTGTTGCCAGAAAAAATGGGGAAAACCTATGATCATATTTTGGTACTGGCAAAGGAGATCCCATGTGGTATTTATTTTTTAAGGCATACTAAGGGGTTTTATTTGTTTTGTTGAGGGGGAGTTGACAGCCGGGACGGCTGAGTTCTACGAAGGGGGGGGGGGGTAATGTAGTGACATCGTGGGATGTTAATATGCAGTGCCGGCACTAGAGAGGCACAGCATGTGGTGTCACGACATCGCGGATACCACAATGGTATGGGTGCAGTACCGGTCCTAGAGGGGCCTGGTGAGCGCTGATTGATAGCGCTAGATGGCACCAGGCTTTGCGTGCAGTGCCAACCCTACAGGACAGGGTGTGCGGGTCCCGGCCGAAGGATGAGGTTACTCGAGGCCATGGCACTTTGGTTGACTCGGGAGGACATGTGACCAGTTAAATGTACAAAGGGGCCCCAAGTGGGGACTAGGAGTGGTCACGTGGTTGGGACTCGGATACTTCCCAAGGATTCTGGAAGGTGGTCGTGGCCAA